TTTTTGTGACACAGAATCTGACAATACAAGGATTAAGGTTTTAAGTCACGCTGATGAAACACAGATACCCGAGCTGATGGACTTTCTCGTGTCTGCACAAGACATTCAGGTGTGTGGATCTCCACCCTGGAAAGGTTATTTGTTTCTTAGATCATTTGGCTGGGTGTTGAATGTTGAGGCAGTGGATCGTCCCTGCAAGTTTTGATCGTGTCAGATGACAATATTAGGAGGGCTGTGTGTAAAGGCTCCTTAGTTAAAGTGAGGGTTGTACATGAGGAATTAATGTCATCTAGGGATGCACCGATACAGATACCGGTATCGGTGCAGATACCGATACCGATTCCAGTATCGGTATCGGTAAAAGTTAGCCGATACCAGGAACCAATACCAGTACAGTTGCTTGAAAAAGGCTTCACTGTAACTTTTCGTTTCTGTTCACCTAATATTTTAGTTTTGTGATGATTTCTATTCATATATTTTACTTTTTATGCACCTCAAAGTCTTTGCCTGTTGAAAGCAGAGAAGAAAATAAAATCTGTATTCCAAATCATTGCATTTTTTGTGTGGTAGAAGTATCTGTATCGGTAATCGGTATCGGCGAGTACTCAGATCCAAGTATCGGTATTGTATCGGTTTGGAAAAAAGGGGTATCGTTGCATACGTAGGCTAACCACTAGCCCCATTAGCATCACCCACCAGTACTGAATAAATCTGAGATTGACTTTGTCACCATAGTAGTTCTGAATGGATGGTAATGTAAATTTTTGCTTTTAAGGTTTTAATATAAGGTTTTGATATTTTTATCATGATTGTAGCTTATAGCAGTAAGCAGTGAATGTTTTATTGTGTGGATGTGCATGTTGTGTTTACTTGTCCAAGGCAATTCAGTTTCCCCCTTGAGGATTAATAAAGACAACCTTACCTTAAGTCACGATCATGAAGCACAAAAACCTGCACTTATGGACTTCATCATGTTCGCACAAGCCATTCAGGTGTGTGGACCTCTGCCCTTGAAAGGTATTAATTTGTTCCTCAGTTAATTTGATTGGATGTTGAATGTTGAGGCAATAGACTGAAAAAATCTTGGTATCCAGAAGTGATCAATCTGAGGGTCAGAGCGCACTCGACTAAAGGTGTGGCCACTTCAGGGGCGCTGGTGACGTTAGCTCAGCTGCTAGCTGGGCTGAACCCAACACTTTCATGCAGTTTTACCATCTGGATTTTGTGGCCTCTTCTGAAGCTCATCAACTTCTTTCTGCTGGTTCTGAATTGGCATCTTAAATTGCGTTCTAAGCCCAGGTTTGATAGCTGCTCATGGGGTGCTTCTTGATGTCCCATAGTACCTTCATTGTACCAAGTGAATCGACTGAAAGGGAGTGTTAGGTTATGCGTATAACCACTGTTTCCAAAAGATTTGTTTACGAGTTTTGGGAACACCACCCACAACAATGAACAAAGGTTCACCAATTAAAACAAACCTAATGAAAGGAAACTCCCCTTTAGTGAGACATTCAATCATTGATTTATTTTGTGTTTTTGTGGAGATCAGTGATAAATAATACCGATAACTGGGATACAGGAGAAATGTGCACCAGCTCCGGAGGAGGGTAGAGGAGCCAAGGATTGTAGTCCAATAGCTTTACTTTAATATGTGAAAAAGTAGTCTGAGAAAAAAAAGTTTGATAAAGAAGCTGCTCAAATAGTAAGTCCACCTTTCATCATAAAATCGGATTTAATTTGTTGAACTTGTTTAATAAGGTAAAGTTTTGTTGTTTTCTCAGATGGGAGGAGATTTAAAACATCAGATCGGTTTCCTGTAAATCTAAACACAGCGGTGTGAAAAACTAGTTGCCCCCTTCCTGATTTCTTATTCTTTTGCATGTTTGTCACACAAAATGTTTCTGATCATTAAACACATTTAACCGTTAGTCAAAGATAACAAGTAAACACAAAATGCAGTTTTGAAATGATGGTTTTTATTATTTAGGGAGAAAAATATCCAAACCTGCATTGCCCTGTGTGAAAAAGTATTTGCCCCCTGAACCTAATAACTGGTTGGGCCTCCCTTAGCAGCAATAACTGCAATCAAGCGTTTGCAATCAGGGACGAAATTTTGATTTCAGAAGTGGGGGGGACACAGCAGGCTTGTGCGGATTTGGGGTGGGGGTGTTATGTAAAGACCCCTTGACACGTCACGTGCCCATCTCAATAATTGTTCCATCCTCAATATATATATATATATCAAAGTTAAAAAATGTACAACTCTATTATTATTTTTATTTATTATCATTATTGAAGTGCAGTTTTGGCTGTTGACAATGGATAGGCCATTGTATTTATTGTTTTGGGTCTTTTTTTATTGTTTTTGGTGCAACATTTTCTAACAGGGAGTGAGATTCCTTTTTTATTTAATTTTTGTTTGTTATTTTTATTCATTTAGAAGTTCTGGTTCTGGACATTTCAATGTTAAATGAAGGTTTCTTTGTTGCATTTTAAAGGGTGTACTTGCATTATTATGATATATTAACATTATATTAGTGGTTATTTTGGTCTAGATAATGTTGACAATATCGTTTATCATCAACAATTTGTTGGACAAAATATCGTCCAGCAAAATGTGTTACTTTCCCAGGCCTAGTCAAAAGTATAAAAATTATTTATACATAAATGGTCCTCCTGAGATCTGGCCGTTTGTTCATTTGCTGTGTTAGAGGACATGCTGAACTAATGTTTTACACATGATCATCACCCTAACATTTGAGTGTATGAAAACATATTAAGTATGTTTTTCCCCTTAAAAGTGTTTAAACAGTTGTTGCATTTCAACACACAAAAAATAAATGGAAAAAATAAGATAAATCTAATGAAAAGTGTACATCTTTGACATTAAGCTTAAAAAAATCTGTTGATGATGATGATACTGTTCATTTTTCAGAGCTTTTTAATGTGAACATATACATTGCAATAGATAAGTTTACAATAAAGTTAAATGATAAAAGATTTGAAGTTACACTTCTACTACTACTACTACTAGTAATAATAATTATGATGATAATAGTAATAATAAAAAATAATAATTATAATAATACTAATAAATTGTGTCTGAGGAGTCAGTTATGTGGAGGAGATGAGTTTGTAAAAGTTAGTTTTGAGTATGTTTGTGAAGGAGGAGGTGAGTCTGAGCTTAATGCAGGGGTGTCACATGTTCCAACTTACGTTTTGACTTTGAAAGAAGTCTCTTATATCCACTTTTCGTTTTCTTGACATGCTGCCTCCTGGCTGTGCCTAACTACCAAAGACTCACAAATGAACACTTATTCAAATGTTATGTAATGGAAGCTGAGCTGAGCTGATATTACACAGCGTCTAGTTGACGGTGACTCAGTACCGGTGTTCCCTAGCGGCTCCAAACTAGCAAAACAACGTGAGCACGTTCTGACTGTTTGCAACTTGAGTGACAGCAGCAACAGCCAATAATACGTTAGCAAGTATCAGCAGAGCCAATAGATTAGCTTTTGGGCGGGTCTAATAGTAAAGCGGTTTCCGTTTCGGTCCTAGTGCTCAACCAAATCCATTTAATGGAGCGTAACATTGTTTTTGGACGGAAAAAAGTGCAGGGGACCAAAACTGCCTTTTGAAAAAGTGGGGGGGACATGTCCCACCCGTCCCCCCCCAAAATTACGTCCCAGTTTGCAATAACTTGCTACGAGTCTTTTGCAGCGCTCTGGAGGAATTTTGGCCCACTCATCTTTGCAGAATTGTTGTAATTCAGCTTTATTTGAGGGTTTTCTAGCATGAACCGCCTTTTTAAGGTCATGCCATAGCATTGCAATAGGATTCAGGTCAGGACTTTGACTAGGCCACTCCAAAGTCTTCATTTGGTTGTTCTTCAGCTATTCAGAGGTGGATTTGCTGGTGTGTTTTGGGTCATTGTCCTGCTGCAGCACCCAAGATCGCTTCAGCTTTAGTTGACGAACAGATAGCCGGACGTTCTCCTTCAGGATGTTTTGGTAGACGGTAGAATTCATGGTTCCATTTATCACAGCAAGCCTTCCAGTTCCTGAAGCAGCAAAACAACCCCAGACCATCACACTGCCACCACCATATTTTACTGTTGGTATGATGTTCTTTGTCTGAAATGCTGTGTTACTTCTACGCCCAATATAATGGGACATTTACCTTCCAAAAAGTTCAACTTTTGTCTCATCAGTCCACAAGGTGTTTTCCCAAAAGTCTTGGCAATCACTGAGATATTTCTTAGCAAAATTGAGACGAGCCCTGATGTCTTTTTGCTTAACAGTGGTTTGCGTCTTGGAAATCTGCCATGCTGGCCATTTTTGCCCAGTCTCTTTCTTATGGTGGAGTCGTGAACACTGACCTTAATTGAGGCAAGTGAAGCCTGCAGTTCTTTAGAAGTTGTCCTGGAGTTTTTTGTGATCTCTCGGAGGAGTTGTGTCTGCGCTCTTGGGGTAATTTTGGTCAGCCGCCCACTCCTGGGAAGGTTCACCACTGTCCCATGTTGTTGCCATTTGTGGATAATGGCTCTCACTGTGGTTCGCTGGAGTCCCAAAGCTTTAGAAATGGCTTTATAACCTTTACCAGACTGATGGATCTCACTTACTTTTGTTCTCATTTGTTCTTGAATTTCTTTGGATCTTGGCATGATGTCTAGCTTTTGAGGTTCTTTTGGTCTACTTCTCTGTGTCAGGCAGCTCATATTTAAGTGATTTCTTGATTGAAACAGGTGTGGCAGTAATCATGCTTGGCTACAGGATGTTGTTCTCTCCCTAAATAAAACTATCATTTCAAAACTGCATTTTGTGTTTACTTGTGTTATCTTTGACTAATGGTTAAATGTGTTTGATGATCAGAAACATTTTGTGTGAGAAACATGCAAAAGAATAAGAAATCAGGAAGGGGGCAAATAGTTTTTCACACCACTGCAACTGCTTATCCGAGTTAGGGCTGATTCTATGAATGGAGCACAATCACTAGAGAGCTTTTCATCACAGCAGTTTTTATTCAAGACTCAGTTGAACCTTTTTCCTACAGTTCCAGCGTTTTTGTTGTTAAACTACAGCTGGTAAGTGCCTGTCTTACAGTTGTTTTATCCTACAGACAAACAAATCAGAGCCTGAAGAATGATGTAGCTCCAGCTGAAACCTGAAACGGAACATTCAAATTTGGTTAAACTTAGTTTGTTCAGTCAGACTTTGCTGATAAAAATGAAAACATTTTGCTTTAAAAAATGAAATATTGTACATTAATAAATGTATGTAGAGATAAAATTAAAGAATTTACCTGAGGATCCGACTCCATCCATCGGGGGTGAGGTGACGGGTTCTAAAGGGAACAAATGGCTCGTCAGGTTATGTTTGTTTCTTGCAAGTGAGAGGTTATTCAATTCTGATTTTCGTCCTTGTGACATCACAAATGGTGACGTTTTGAAATGACTTTTTTTAGACACATAATTCCTAAACCAAACACTGACAAAAAAATGGATGGACATATTTTTATCGAGTTTGGAGTATTTATGGAGAACGTACACATGATAGCAATAAGGGTGTAAAAGGTGAGCTTTGCTTATGTTCCCTTTTAAAGAAACAAAACTGATTCATCAAATTATTTGTTTTCTTTGTGTAAATTTGTTGACAGCAAGCTCAAAGTTCAAAGCCACTTCTTTTTTATTTTTATTGATAAAACATCAAATCGTGACTGAAAGACGACACGGTTAGTTAAATTAAAACCAGTTTCTCTAAAATCTGTTTATATTCCTAACCAATAATGGGTTGTTCACAGGTGCTCTGGCTCTTATCCTACGGTATACAATGACAGTGTGGATCTAGTGATGAAACCCTGCACAGCTTGTAAATAATATACTCTCTGGGGAATGTGGATAGCTGTGACACCGTATCGCTTCAGCACTTTTTAAATCACTAACAACATTATAGAATCTGCCCTGCCCTGCCCTGCCCTGCCCTGCCCTGCCCTGCCCTGCCCTGCCGGTGTTGTGAGCTGGGAGGTGAGCACTCCACACACACCATGACATCACCTGGCTTGTGAGTTCTGTTTTCAGGAGAGAGAGCAGCAGCTGCAATCGATCAGCTGATCAGTGGGTGGCCTTCATAAGGAGGACGGAGGACACTGCTAAGCCGCCGGATGATTACGCCTACTGGTAGAGTCCCAGCCACAGTGTTAACTCGATTTTGAAACCTTGACTTTGAACTGTCGGATCTTAGACTTTGAACTTTGAAACCTTAGCCTTGAACTTTTGTAACGTGTTTTTGCTAGCGATCTTTTGCTCAGATTTTGCTCTCGTTTTGTCTCAGGCTCAGTCATCTTTCCATACACCACCTCCTCGCTGAGACCTTTTGGATTTACTACTCGACCATACTACGTCTGGACTTCACTCCCGGTTCCTGTCCTCCTCACGGCACTAACTGCTCCCAGCACTACAGGCTCTCTCTCTCCTTCCCTCCGGTTGTAAAACCTTGCCGATCTTCATCACCCCGGAATACTCAGTCACTCTCCCAGCTCACCCCTCCCTGGAGATCCTCCATCACGCTACATCTGTAAGTCCTCCTACCAAACTCATCCTCTACCACACTACAGTTTCAATAAGGGACTCACCTCTGTTTCCCTTCCCTCAGACGCTGCTCCCGTTTACCCATTCACTGGATTTCCAGTGCACCCTAAGTTCTAGTTACCAAATAAATCTTTATTTTTTCACATCCTGCTCCCGTGTGTTGATTCTGCATGTCTTGGGTTAAATCAATACCTCAGATCATGACAGCAGGGCTGCCCTGCCCTGCCCTGCCCTGCCCTGCCCTGCCCTGCCCTGCCCTGCCCTGCCGGTGTTGTGAGCTGGGAGGTGAGCACTCCACACACACCATGACATCACCTGGCTTGTGAGTTCTGTTTTCAGGAGAGAGAGCAGCAGCTGCAATCAATCAGCTGATCAGTGGGTGGCCTTCATAAGGAGGACGGAGGACACTGCTAAGCCGCCGGATGATTACGCCTACTGGTAGAGTCCCAGCCACAGTGTTAACTCGATTTTGAAACCTTGACTTTGAACTGTCGGATCTTAAGCCTGGTTTATGCTTCTCCGTCAGCTCCGCAAGGGACAGACACGCACGGATTGACGGAAGCGTTTTGCTCTTTTACTTCTCCGTCTCCTGGAGAGCGTTGCAAAGCAATTGCCCGGCAGGACAACAGAGGGCGTAGTGCTGTTCTTTGGTATCCTGTCATGTATCGGTCCAAGATCGTGTGTTTATTTTGTGTTTATTGTGTATATAAGAGACTTTTAACACGGACATATTTGTCTCTCATTCTCCCACAGCTTCATGCGCTCCCCACCTCTAAACCCACGTTTCCTGTTATTTCCGTCCACAAATAAAACGCTTGCTGCGCATCTTTTCACTCCTCCAGTCACGGGAGAATTAAACGTTCATGTTTTTAGAGTTTTTTCGCGAGGTATTCTTCAAGCTTCTCCGTGTCTGCCGCTAGTTAAACTCGACTCTCTTTGCAATGGCGGCGCTGTAAACAACAGCGGCGTCCTGACCAATCACAAGCTTGCGTAATCCGTCTCGTTTGACGGATGTTTAAAAAAGTGGGCTCGACTCCGTACGTACTTGCGTGCCCTACGCAAGGACGGATAATGGCGTTGCGTGTCTCCGCACTGACGCAGACGGAGAAGCATAAATCAGGCTTTAGACTTTGAACTTTGAAACCTTAGCCTTGAACTTTTGTAACGTGTTTTTGTTAGCGATCTTTTGCTCAGATTTTGCTCTCGTTTTGTCTCAGGCTCAGTCATCTTTCCATACACCACCTCCTCGCTGAGACCTTTTGGATTTACTACTCGACCATACTACGTCTGGACTTCACTCCCGGTTCCTGTCCTCCTCACGGCACTAACTGCTCCCAGCACTACAGGCTCTCTCTCTCCTTCCCTCCGGTTGTAAAACCTTGCCGATCTTCATCACCCCGGAATACTCAGTCACTCTCCCAGCTCACCCCTCCCTGGAGATCCTCCATCACGCTACATCTGTAAGTCCTCCTACCAAACTCATCCTCTACCACACTACAGTTTCAATCAAGGACTCACCTCTGTTTCCCTTCCCTCAGACGCTGCTCCCGTTTACCCATTCACTGGATTTCCAGTGCACCCTAAGTTCTAGTTACCAAATAAATCTTTATTTTTTCACATCCTGCTCCCGTGTGTTGATTCTGCATGTCTTGGGTTAAATCATTACCTCAGATCATGACAGCAGGGCTGCCCTGCCCTGCCCTGCCCTGCCCTGCCCTGCCCTGCAGGGCTGCCCTGCCCTGCCCTGCCCTGCCCTGCAGGGCTGCCCTGCCCTGCCCTGCCCTGCCCTGCCCTGCAGGGCTCCCCTGCCCTGCCCTGCCCTGCCCTGCCCTGCCCTGCCCTGCCCTGCAGGGCTCCCCTGCCCTGCCCTGCCCTGCCCTGCCCTGCCGGTGTTGTGAGCTGGGAGGTGAGCACTCCACACACACCATGACATCACCTGGCTTGTGAGTTCTGTTTTCAGGAGAGAGAGCAGCAGCTGCAATCGATCAGCTGATCAGTGGGTGGCCTTCATAAGGAGGACGGAGGACACTGCTAAGCCGCCGGATGATTACGCCTACTGGTAGAGTCCCAGCCACAGTGTTAACTGGATTTTGAAACCTTGACTTTGAACTGTCGGATCTTAGACTTTGAACTTTGAAACCTTAGCCTTGAACTTTTGTAACGTGTTTTTGCTAGCGATCTTTTGCTCAGATTTTGCTCTCGTTTTGTCTCAGGCTCAGTCATCTTTCCATACACCACCTCCTCGCTGAGACCTTTTGGATTTACTACTCGACCATACTACGTCTGGACTTCACTCCCGGTTCCTGTCCTCCTCACGGCACTAACTGCTCCTAGCACTACAGGCTCTCTCTCTCCTTCCCTCCGGTTGTAAAACCTTGCCGATCTTCATCACCCCGGAATACTCAGTCACTCTCCCAGCTCACCCCTCCCTGGAGATCCTCCATCACGCTACATCTGTAAGTCCTCCTACCAAACTCATCCTCTACCACACTACAGTTTCAATCAAGGACTCACCTCTGTTTCCCTTCCCTCAGACGCTGCTCCCGTTTACCCATTCACTGGATTTCCAGTGCACCCTAAGTTCTAGTTACCAAATAAATCTTTATTTTTTCACATCCTGCTCCCGTGTGTTGATTCTGCATGTCTTGGGTTAAATCATTACCTCAGATCATGACAGCAGGGCTGCCCTGCCCTGCCCTGCCCTGCCCTGCCCTGCCCTGCAGGGCTCCCCGGCCCTGCCCTGCCCTGCCCTGCCCTGCAGGGCTCCCCGGCCCTGCCCTGCCCTGCCCTGCAGGGCTCCCCGGCCCTGCCCTTCCCTGCCCTGCCCTGCCCTGCAGGGCTCCCCTGCCCTGCCCTGCCCTGCCCTGCCCTGCAGGGCTCTCCTGCCCTGCCCTGCCCTGCCCTGCCCTGCAGGGCTCCCCTGCCCTGCCCTGACCTGCCCTGCCCTGCAGGGCTCTCCTGCCCTGCCCTGCCCTGCCCTGCCCTGCCCTGCAGGGCTCCCCTGCCCTGCCCTGACCTGCCCTGCCCTGCCCTGCAGGGCTCCCCTGCCCTGCCCTGCCCTGCCCTGCCCTGCAGGGCTCCCCTGCCCTGCCCTGCCCTGCCCTGCAGGGCTCCCCTGCCCTGCCCTGCCCTGCCCTGCCCTGCAGGGCTCACCTGCCCTGCCCTGCCCTGCCCTGCAGGGCTCCCCTGCCCTGCCCTGCCCTGCCCTGCCCTGCCCTGCCCTGCCGGTGTTGTGAGCTGGGAGGTGAGCACTCCACACACACCATGACATCACCTGGCTTGTGAGTTCTGTTTTCAGGAGAGAGAGCAGCAGCTGCAATCGATCAGCTGATCAGTGGGTGGCCTTCATAAGGAGGACGGAGGACACTGCTAAGCCGCCGGATGATTACGCCTACTGGTAGAGTCCCAGCCACAGTGTTAACTCGATTTTGAAACCTTGACTTTGAACTGTTGGATCTTAGACTTTGAACTTTGAAACCTTAGCCTTGAAATTTTGTAACGTGTTTTTGCTAGCGATCTTTTGCTCAGATTTTGCTCTCGTTTTGTCTCAGGCTCAGTCATCTTTCCATACACCACCTCCTCGCTGAGACCTTTTGGATTTACTACTCGACCATACTACGTCTGGACTTCACTCCCGGTTCCTGTCCTCCTCACGGCACTAACTGCTCCCAGCACTACAGGCTCTCTCTCTCCTTCCCTCCGGTTGTAAAACCTTGCCGATCTTCATCACCCCGGAATACTCAGTCACTCTCCCAGCTCACCCCTCCCTGGAGATCCTCCATCACGCTACATCTGTAAGTCCTCCTACCAAACTCATCCTCTACCACACTACAGTTTCAATCAAGGACTCACCTCTGTTTCCCTTCCCTCAGACGCTGCTCCCGTTTACCCATTCACTGGATTTCCAGTGCACCCTAAGTTCTAGTTACCAAATAAATCTTTATTTTTTCACATCCTGCTCCCGTGTGTTGATTCTGCATGTCTTGGGTTAAATCATTACCTCAGATCATGACAGCAGGGCTGCCCTGCCCTGCCCTGCCCTGCCCTGCAGGGCTCCCCGGCCCTGCCCTGCCCTGCCCTGCCCTGCAGGGCTCCCCGGCCCTGCCCTGCCCTGCCCTGCAGGGCTCCCCGGCCCTGCCCTGCCCTGCCCTGCCCTGCCCTGCAGGGCTCCCCTGCCCTGCCCTGCCCTGCCCTGCCCTGCCCTGCCCTGCCCTGCAGGGTTCCCCTGCCCTGCCCTGACCTGCCCTGCCCTGCAGGGCTCTCCTGCCCTGCCCTGCCCTGCCCTGCCCTGCAGGGCTCCCCTGCCCTGCCCTGACCTGCCCTGCCCTGCCCTGCAGGGCTCCCCTGCCCTGCCCTGCCCTGCCCTGCCCTGCAGGGCTCCCCTGCCCTGCCCTGCCCTGCCCTGCCCTGCAGGGCTCCCCTGCCCTGCCCTGCCCTGCCCTGCCCTGCAGGGCTCACCTGCCCTGCCCTGCCCTGCCCTGCCCTGCAGGGCTCCCCTGCCCTGCCCTGCCCTGCCCTGCCCTGCAGGGCTCCCCTGCCCTGCCCTGCCCTGCCCTGCAGGCTCCCCTGCCCTGCCCTGCCCTGCCCTGCAGGGCTCCCCTGCCCTGCCCTGCCCTGCCCTGCAGGGCTCACCTGCCCTGCCCTGCCCTGCCCTGCCCTGCCCTGCCCTGCCCTGCAGGGCTCCCCTGCCCTGCCCTGCCCTGCCCTGCCCTGCAGGGCTCCCCTGCCCTGCCCTGCCCTGCCCTGCCCTGCCCTGCCCTGCAGGGCTCCCTGCCCTGCCCTGCAGGGCTGCCCTGCCCTGCCCTGCCCTGCCCTGCCCTGCCCTGCCGGTGTTGTGAGCTGGGAGGTGAGCACTCCACACACACCATGACATCACCTGGCTTGTGAGTTCTGTTTTCAGGAGAGAGAGCAGCAGCTGCAATCGATCAGCTGATCAGTGGGTGGCCTTCATAAGGAGGACGGAGGACACTGCTAAGCCGCCGGATGATTACGCCTACTGGTAGAGTCCCAGCCCACAGTGTTAACTCGATTTTGAAACCTTGACTTTGAACTGTTGGATCTTAGACTTTGAACTTTGAAACCTTAGCCTTGAAATTTTGTAACGTGTTTTGCTAGCGATCTTTTGCTCAGATTTGCTCTCGTTTTGTCTCAGGCTCAGTCATCTTTCCATACACCACCTCCTCGCTGAGACCTTTTGGATTTACTACTCGACCATACTACGTCTGGACTTCCTCCCGGTTCCTGTCCTCCTCACGGCACTAACTGCTCCCAGCACTACAGGCTCTCTCTCTCCTTCCTCCGGTTGTAAAACCTTGCCGATCTTCATCACCCCGGAATACTCAGTCACTCTCCCAGCTCACCCCTCCCTGTGAGATCCTCCATCACGCTACATCTGTAAGTCCTCCTACCAAACTCATCTCTACCACACTACAGTTTCAATCAAGGACTCACCTCTGTTTCCCTTCCCTCAGACGCTGCTCCCGTTTACCCATTCACTGGATTTCCAGTGCACCCTAAGTTCTAGTTACCAAATAAATCTTTATTTTTTCACATCCTGCTCCCGTGTGTTGATCTGCATGTCTTGGGTTAAATCATTACCTCAGATCATGACAGCAGGGCTGCCCTGCCCTGCCCTGCCCTGCCCTGCAGGGCTCCCGGCCCTGCCCTGCCCTGCCCTGCCCTGCAGGGCTCCCCGGCCCTGCCCTGCCCTGCCCTGCCCTGCAGGGCTCCCCGGCCCTGCCCTGCCCTGCCCTGCAGGGCTCCCCTGCCCTGCCCTGCCCTGCCCTGCCCTGCAGGGCTCTCCTGCCCTGCCCTGCCCTGCCCTGCAGGGTTCCCCTGCCCTGCCCTGACCTGCCCTGCCCTGCAGGGCTCTCCTGCCCTGCCCTGCCCTGCAGGGCTCCCCCTGCCCTGCCCTGACCTGCCCTGCCCTGCCTGCAGGGCTCCCCTGCCCTGCCCTGCCCTGCCCTGCCCTGCCCTGCAGGGCTCCCCTGCCCTGCCCTGCCCTGCCCTGCCCTGCAGGGCTCCCCTGCCCTGCCCTGCCCTGCCCTGCAGGGCTCCCCTGCCCTGCCCTGCCCTGCCCTGCCCTGCAGGGCTCACCTGCCCTGCCCTGCCCTGCCCTGCCCTGCCCTGCAGGGCTCCCCTGCCCTGCCCTGCCTGCCCTGCCCTGCCCTGCAGGGCTCCCCTGCCCTGCCCTGCCCTGCCCTGCCCTGCAGGGCTCCCCTGCCCTGCCCTGCAGGGCTGCCCTGCCCTGCCCTGCCCTGCAGGGCTGCCCTGCCCTGCCCTCCCTGCCCTGCAGGGCTCCCCTGCCCTGCCCTGCCCTGCCCTGCCCTGCCCTGCCCTGCCCTGCCGTGTTGTGAGCTGGAGGTGAGCACTCCACACACACCATGACATCACCTGCTTGTGAGTTCTGTTTTCAGGAGAGAGAGCAGCAGCTGCAATCGATCAAGCTGATCAGTGGGTGGCCTTCATAAGGAGGACGGAGGACACTGCTAAGCCGCCGGATGATTACGCCTACTGGTAGAGTCCCAGCCACAGTGTTAACTCGATTTTGAAACCTTGACTTTGAACTGTTGGATCTTAGACTTTGAACTTTGAAACCTTAGCCTTGAAATTTTGTAACGTGTTTTTGCTAGCGATCTTTTGCTCAGATTTTGCTCTCGTTTTTGTCTCAGGCTCAGTCATCTTTCCATACACCACCTCCTCGCTGAGACCTTTTGGATTTACTACTCGACCATACTACGTCTGGACTTCACTCCCGGTTCCTGTCCTCCTCACGGCACTAACTGCTCCCAGCACTACAGGCTCTCTCTCTCCTTCCCTCCGGTTGTAAAACCTTGCCGATCTTCATCACCCCGGAATACTCAGTCACTCTCCCAGCTCACCCCTCCCTGGAGATCCTCCATCACGCTACATCTGTAAGTCCTCCTACCAAACTCATCCTCTACCACACTACAGTTTCAATCAAGGACTCACCTCTGTTTCCCTTCCCTCAGACGCTGCTCCCGTTTACCCATTCACTGGATTTCCAGTGCACCCTAAGTTCTAGTTACCAAATAAATCTTTATTTTTTTCACATCCTGCTCCCGTGTGTTGATTCTGCATGTCTTGGGTTAAATCATTACCTCAGATCATGACAGCAG